TGTCCGTATGTGCAAAGATCGCACCGTTTCATAGTGTGTGCATGTTTGATTTCATTCTCACTGTTCCATAAATGGTTTTCTCCTATCATTTTTGTTTACATGATGATAGGTTATGCAATTTTGGAGTTAACAAATCTGCTTAGTTATCTGTATATTGGTCAGTCCCTGTCATTGCTGATTGTTTTGAGTCATCAATACTCATATTTGTGCAAACTGAGAATTAGTTTTGTACTGCAGATTTGTGTTGGTATGCCCTACATATCTGTTTCATCGCCCAAGCACCTTCTGCGGAAAGAAAGAAAAAGGCAAGTACTCCTGAGGATGGCATGTATTATTCCTTCGGTTAACAAGTTCATGCATGGTTAATTATTAATTCATTCATAATCGGTAATCTTGAATGTATTTATAGGCTTTCAACAATTACAGTCAGGGCAGTCTTCTAATTGTATCAGCAACATATACTGCACCGTGGACCACCGGGTCAAGAACTCCAGCTTGGAAAAGTACCTTTACCATGCACTATGCAATGACAGCTACCCAAATGCTAAGAATAACAGGTAATACCTCTCTCTGGCATTGAATTTATTCAGAAGTGTTCAGCTATAATAATTATCATTGTTTGCTTGCTAAACAAATATGATAATGCTCCTTTATTAGTACAAATTTTGGAGCATTCATACATGCATTAGATGCGGATAGTAGTATACTAAAGCAAATTTTCATACTAACTACGAGGTTCACTGTGACAAGAGATCAAGTATTCACACTCTGCCATTTCGTTTGCTAGATAGATGCACTTGAATTTCTTTCTTCCATGACTCTTAACTATGCCACTCTATCCACTCTGGAACCACACCAAACGGTAATACTTGATGAATATATAGGTTCCTAGGTCTAATATGCCATCTGTTGCTTGACACCGCACCTGTTCTAACTAGCATCACAAAATCCTTCAAGTTCTCATGTAATCTAGAACATCCCTCTTTATACAGATTTACAGAACTCTAATTCACAATATAAAATTGTACTCCCTCTGTTCCTAAATATTTGTCTTTTTAGAGATTTCAAATGGACTACACATACAGATATATATATATATATAGACATATTTTAGAGTGTAGATTCACTCATCTGCAGTCGCCGATAACTCCGACCCTGAGCTCCATCCATCCGCTGCCCCCTACCCCGTCCGCCTGCCCCGTAATCGCAGCCGTGGATAGCCCCATCAACCGCAACCTTCACCAGCCACGCACAAACCTTCCGAAGACAAATTCCAGGTAAGTGCATGGGATCCCCCATTTGATTCATATCTGTGTCTACCTATGTATCTATCTATCTAGAACACCTCTCTTGTGTTGGTTGCATCTATGTTATGCCTGACAAGTTATCCATGCTATGATAGCTCCATATGCCTGACGAGTTGTACATCATCTATGTATCTACTAAGTTATCTATGACGCTTAACAATCATCCATGTATCTATCTTTCTTATTAGTACTCCAAAACTAAGTCTTGTTTGGTCATCAATTTGTTCTCTGTTGGCATGCAAATTCTGCAAGGGTTTTTTGGTCTCCTAATTTAGTCCTAGGAGTGATACAGGTTGTCAAGTTTTATGTTGTTGACCTGCTTCAGGCCATGTTTCTCTGTTTCTTGAGTTATAATTGTTTGCAGACTATTTTGTGACAGTTCCTGATTCTTTTCTTTTCTTAAGGAAGCAAACACATATTGTTTTCTTGAAAAGATTGACAGCTTGGACTTTGAATTTGCCGTATGTTGGTCATACTAATTTCTGGAGCAACTTAAAAGTTTTTGTAGGACCATAGCAAAGAATTATAGCACCAGCCACTTTATTTAAGGATAGAATTTTTTTTTGCATCTACTTGTTGTACTAAAGTATCATGGTTTTCTGAATTTAATATGTAAACGTGTTTTGTCAAATCCAGTGAGCGACGCATTTGTGGGATAAAAAAAATCTCGGTAGCCGTGTCATTCCCGTCCGCTGCACTTTCCGGTGGTGGATCTTGATTCAGGCGGCACATCGTTTGTTTGATCTGTTCATTGACATGATCTTATCTCCTCCCATCTCTTGGCTTTTATATCAAGGTTCCTATTTGCTGTTGAAATCTCAGAAGAAATTTATGGAAGGTTTGTCTATCATTTCCAATTTATATTCGCAGGTTAGTCTTCCCCAAAACTGACAATTTCTGCAATTATTTTGGGCTGCTTTGGTGGTGAGACTGAAGGCAGTATTCCATTTTCGCCAAACAAAGCCAGCGCTACCTGTTTCTGAATTGCATCGGGGAGGGGCGAGTGGCAAGATATATTGCCTTAGGAAGCAGAACTTTTGTGGCTTTTCCGGAAGGATTTGCTGCATGAGTTGCTTTTATTTACATATAGTTTGTGTGAACAAGTCAGTCTAATAATCCCAATATGGTGACCAATAGCATGCTAACTTCTTGCAGGATCAGCTGAAACAGCAAGGCTTGGGCAAGCAAAAGAAGAGACAGAGAGAGATAGCCGAGCATCATGCCAAACGGAGGCCGATTTCCAAGGAAGCTCACTAAGGTATGTATCGTGCATCTGCATATTCAATCTGTTTGTTTATAAGATAATAACAGGGCTTTTGATCATTTATATTCTTGGCATTTCCACTTCCAGACCAGCAGTGACTCTGGCGCAAACGTCAAACGCCTTGAGCAAGAGACGAACATAAAGATCGAACAGCTGAAGCAGCAGGTAGCAAACATCTCTCTAGAGGTGATTCAGATGCTTCTGAGGTACGTCACCACTCTGAAGAACTAAGGGTTGATGAGTCAGTGCTGCATATGATGGCAACTTTGTATTATTTGTTTGTACACATAGTGTACTACATTTCTATGTGTTTTTTGGGTAGAATGTATACAGAGTGGCGTTATCTACAACTGCTAATATGTGTAGGAAGCTTCCTTCAGACGCCTCATATTTTGTAATGGAAGTGGTTCCTCTGCTAACAAATCTTCTGAACTACCATGATGCAAAAATATGCTTGTTGTTTGTATTTGGATACCCTGATTATACCATGATACCATCTATTCTTAGATGTTGATGCTCTGCATCGATTTATTTCAGATGCTGGAACATGCTTCCGTTTTCCTGACTCGTATAGCAGAATCGTTTGCTTCATCTCCAGAGAAACTGGATCAATTGTGCAACCATGGATAGGCTGCACAAGCTCCTAGCTTAATACTCCCTCCGCCCAAAATAAGTGTCTCAACTTTGTACTAACTTTAGTACAAAGTTGTACTAAGCTTATGACACTTATTTGGGACCGAGGGAGTAGTTGTTAGCAACTGGGCGGGACAAGCATCACTGGGTACATTATACAACATGCTTCTATTTCACTTTTTACTGCTACTGTATTATTTACGGAAATTTGCTAACTCTGGCTCATATATCCTTGAAGGGAGTAATTGTTCTGTCAATATGTGCAAGTGGATCTTCAATGGCAGCTAAAACTCTCCTCCTCCATGGAATTAGTGGCACACTTAAGATATCCTTTCAGGTTCTGGTTTGGTTGCTGGTACAACTGTATCCCCCACTAGGCCAGCTGATCAGGTGATTATTGCTTTATTAAGTTTAGGAATCACTCACCCTCACCAGCGTGTTGATGAATTGACAAGATGACTAGCTCTCTAGATTTTTCACTTTCCTTTACATATTACAAATTCAAATCTGTCGGTCCTAATGTCCTATTGATAAGAAGAAATGATAAAAATTACTGATACACTTCACTGGTGATATTACTTCGTTTTCATAACTGACACCGTTAGAATGCGCAGAGCTACTCTGTTGCTTTCCATTTTGTGCGTGATATTGTAGCATGTTAATTTGGATCTCCAAGACATAGATTCTCTCTTGCCTTCTCTGCAATATCTAATTTCGAGTGTGTTGCTGTTCCTTTTTCATTGCCTAATTGGAGTGATATTGTAGCATTTTATTGCAATGCCACTGTAGGGAGTAAACTTGCAGTGTGGTACATGAGAGCATGTATATAATGATTGGTAAGATCAAGCTTTTTACCAATTTATACTGATTTAAACTTGTTGATATGGCGATAGGGTGTCCAGTGTACATGATTGTCGATTAAATTTTTATATAAACTTCTTCCAATTTGTTCCACTATGGATATGGACCTTTTTTCTATGAACTCCCTTTTATACCTTGGTCTGTTTTTGTTCGTGGTGCAACTTAAGACCATCCTGACATATTAGCTTATATTGTCATTTTTCTGAAAGACACATGATCAGGTCTTAGGGTATAGCATTTTCATAATTTCAGATTAGCTATCCCAGTCTCAAAATTTATAGATTGGGTGGATCGTGTG